GTGCGACTCTGCTGGCTGGCTGCGGCTGGGCTGCGCGGCTGTGCTGGAGCTGGGCTTGCCCACCTACCTGCGCCCGCTCCTGTGCCATGTCGTCCCTCCCTTGCGGCCGCCGCCCTCGCGCAGAGTCTCTGTCCACCCTCAAGTTCGCCAACCGAGCCAAGTGCATGCGCAACCTGCCCAAGGTGGGGGCCTGAGGGAGAGGCGCCTCCTGCGGCAGCAGCCCATCCAGCGCCCGCCAATCGCGCACCCGCCAAGCCACCCGTGCCTGCTCCTGCTCCACTTGCCGGTCACCCGCCCCACCCGGCACAACCACACACTCACCCACCACCCCAGCAACTGCTCCCTATTTATTGATTAATTCGATCCTAACTTTGTCTTTTATTGTTTCACCGCAGGTCAATGAGGACCTGGACCACGTCACCCTGCTGCGCAAGTACGAGCGCGAGCTGCGCCGCCTGCGCGCCGAGCTGCAGCAGAAGAGCAAGGACCTGGTGGACAAGCGGCTGGTGCTGCAGGTGGGTGGGGTGTGGGGGCTGGGACCTGGGGCTGGGATGCTGGGCTGGGGACGGATCGCTGGCCTCCCAAGCGCTCGTGCACACGCGCACGCATGGGGGTGCCGTGCCGTGCATGCTGCGCTTTGCCTGGTAGATCTTTGTAGATCTTTGTACTTGCTTGCTGTGGCCCTGCTTCTGTCCCTCTGAGCCCTGAGCTTCTCGCCGCCGCTCCCGAGGCGTTCTCCCTCTTTCTCCGGCCGGCTCAGATCGAGGAGGCCCGGCGGCGGGAGCAGGCCGACAAGATCGCCGCCATCCACGCCCTGGAGCGGCAGAGCCAGGAGATCATGCGGCACAAGACGGCCATGGCGGCGCTGCAGACGCGCATCGCGTCCATGCAGAGCCAGCTGCTGATCGGGGGGCAGAAGGTGGAGGACACGCCGCAGTTCAGGTGGGCTGGGGCGGCGTGGCGGCGGCTTGTGTGGCAGCGCGTTGTGTGTGTGCGCTTGTAGCTACACTGTTGATGGGCATGGTATGGGCTGGGCCAAGCTGGTTCTGTGCCGGGAGTGGAGCGGTCACCCAGCATTGTTGCTCACGCGCCCGCCCATGCTGTGCGCCCCTATCAATGACCCCTCCCCCTGCAGGACGCTGCTGGCCAAGGAGCAGGCGCGCATCCGTGGGCAGTACGAGGAGCGGCTGCGGGAGCTGGAGAGCGAGCGGCAGAGCGTGCAGGAGGACAAGGCGCAGGTGGGGGGTGGTACGTGGGCGCTGGGGCTGCTGCATCAGCAGGCAGCAGGTGGGCGCTGCCGCGCCGGTTGCGCTGCCTGGGCTTGCCCCCAGCCCAGCTGTCCCGCCTCCCGCCTGGCGCAGGCCGAGCGGTACAAGGCGCTGCTGCTGAAGCAGCGCGACATCATGATTGCGCTGACGCAGCGGCTCAACGAGCGGGACGAGCAGATCCTGGGGCTGCAGGCGGAGCTGGAGGCGTATGACACGCACCAAAAGTGGGTGCGCGGTTGTGGCTGCGTGTGTATGTGTGGGTCGGGTGGGCTGGCGTGAGTGCGGGTGCGCGGCGGCGGTGTTGTCCTGCGCGTGTGGGTCTGGGAGGGCTGAGGGTCTGCCCGGTGATGTGCTGGGGCTCCATGCCTTGCAATGCCTCTGGGCGTTTGCCTCCCATAGAAGCAGCAGCATCTTGCTGGCTTTCCAAACCGGGCGTTTTGTCCATGACCTGCCCGCCTGGCGCGCCTGGCGTGCGGAGCAGGAGCCTGGAGGACCAGCTGGACCAGAAGACCGCCGAGCTCATCGTGCTGCGCAAGGCAGCCATGGAGCGCGTTGGCGGCGGCGGCAGCGGCCGCGGCGGCGGCGCTCTCGATGCGGCAGCCGAGGGCGGCGGCGGCGGCGGCGACTGGTCCATCCCTGCTGTGTCGGCGGCGGCGCAGGGCGCTCAGCCCGTTCCGGCAGAGTTGGGTGGGTATGACAGCGAGAGTGGCAGCCCACTGGCGTGGCAGCCAAACGGCGGCGAGCTTGGTGGCGGCGGCGCGGCGGCTGTGGAGGCCCTGCAGCGCCAGATGGACGAGCTGCGGTTACACCACGGCCGGGAGGCGGGTGCCGCCGCGGAGCGCGAGGCAGCCTGGCGGCAGCAGGCCGAGTCCCTGCAGGCGCGCGTGGCGGCGCTGCAGTCGCAGCAGCAGCAGCAGCAGCAGCAGCAGCAGCAGGCGGCCGTGCCCAGCGGCGGTGCGCAGGCGGCAGCGCTGGTGGCGCAGCGGGACGCTCTCAGCAAGGAGCGGGACGCCCTGCGCACCATCCTCGACTCCAAAGTCCGGGTGCTGGTGGACGACATCGGGCGCAGCATGGCAGAGCTGCCGCCAGAGGTGTGCGGCTGGGGCACATGCTGTTGCTGCTTTGGTGTCGCCTTGTGGGGCTGCCAGGCTGGGAGGCTGCTGCCTGCGGCAGCCACCTGTCCGTCCTCGCCTGCCTCCAGGCATGATGGCTGCGCAGCGTGCCTGACACCGCGCCCGCTGCTTCCCTGCTTGCAGGCCCAGGCCCACCCCAAGCTTGGCAAGCAGCTGGAGTACCTTGGCAAGCTGGTGCGGGCCACTGTGCAGGCGATGGCAGCGCAGCAGTGAGCGCCTGTTCTGTGGCGGGGGCACAAGGGGAGCGGCGTGTGGCGGCAGCATGGTTCCGGGCCTGAAGTCTGACCAGGCATGGCCCTCGGCAACTCTACATGTTTCTTCATTGTGTTGTATTGCGTTGTTGCTTCTGGCGGGGCCCCCCCGCCCCCTCCCTCTCCCTCCTGCTCCCTGGCTGTCGCATGCTGCTTTGTTACATACTCTGCTGTGCATGGCGCGCCCAGCACGTCTTGGAAAGTGAAGCCTCACGCATCGGCTTAGTTGATTTGCAGCGCGGCGGCGCATCACGGGTCAGCGCCGTTGCTGGAGCTGCCGGCTGATGCCAGGCCTCGTGCCTGCCCTGCCCTGCCCTGCCGCCCTGGCCTCACTCCTCACTCAAAGTAGAGGGCAAAGACCTGGGCAGAGCAGAAGAGGCTCTCGTTCTGGTAGGACTGCGAGGCGAAGCCGTCTGTGGCGGTGTCCCACAGGCAGCGGCTGCAGCTGGAGAAGGTCTGCCACCGCCGCTCGCCGACGGTCACGTGCACCACCAGCTTGTGGCGGTCAAACCCCAGCGCCTTCACCCGCTCCCGGATGTCGTCTGCAGGGAGGGAACCAGGGGCAGGCTGCGCTGGGATGCAGGCGCCTGTCTGCAACACAGCTGCAAGGCAGCCCGGCAGGTGCGCCGCTCCCGTGCCCAGCCCCTGCTGCTCACCGGCCAGCTGCTTGGTCATCTGGCTGCCACGCACAGGATCGTACACTTGACCCTCTAGCCGCTCCTTGAGCAGCCCCTTGAGCAGCGCCGCCACCTTGTGCGACCGGAACCTGGCCGCCTGAAGCAGCGGCAGCAGTGGCATGGTCATGGCGGTCGGGGGGCGGCATGGGCGGCGGCAGCAAGGGAGCTGCCTGCTGCACTCCTCACCTCTTCCGGCTCCGTGAGGTACGTGTTCTCGTAGATTGTCTGCCTCAGTGGGCCCCCATACTCGTCCACCAGCGCCATTCTGCTCGGTCAAACTCTGGCGGGGCTTCAGCCGGCTGTCTTGACGAGTCCAGATTTGGATGCTACTCGGCAATTGGATGTATCGAGGGGAAACAGCTACAAGAACACAGCTAGAAGTACCTCAGCCTGCTCCGCCTGCGCTGCAGTCCTCCCCTGCAACTCTTGTGGGAACGTGCCTGGATCGCCTCCGGCGCTGTCGCAACCTTCAGGCAGCTGCAACTCTGAGAAGCGCCCACAGCCGCAGCAGCGGGAAGCCAGGTGAGCAGGAGTCGAGATCGAATCTGCTGTCGCTCTCGCTGTGGGGTCCCCAAACTTCGAGGTAACTTTGAGTATCGCTTGCGACACTGCCGGCGCAACGCGACAGAGTCCAGGTCACTGCTGCGCAGCCCGCCGCCTGCGGCCCACCACACGTCGCCGCTCCCCGTTTTGTGCGCCAGCAGGCTTCATGGCGGCGCCTCCTACCACCCAGCAGTTACAGCAATGGTGAGTAAAACTGCCTGCCAAGTGTCATGCACGCTTCCGCAGGGCACCGTAACCAAAGCCCGCTACTCCCGCGCGGGCGCTCCCCCACAATGCTGGCCTTGCATGCCCAGCTCAGGCTGTTCGTTTGCTCCGCCGCTGAGCAGGTTTTCATCCATAGACACAGACAGGACGGGCACAATCACGGCGGCGGAGCTGCAGCGCGCTATGGGACTTGGCGGGCTGCAGTTCAGCCTCATGGCCTGCGCACAGGTCTGCCCGCCGCCTGGTCTGGGGCTGCCTTGCCCTGCTCATCTGTGTTCTCCTGTGGGTAACCCCTGTCTTGCTGCCGGCCGTTTCCCTGCTCCAGATGGTCAGGCTGCACGACCGCGATGGGAATGGCAACATCAGCTTCCCGGGTACGCCTGCATGCTGCTCTGTGGAATGCAGCAACGCGGCCGTCTGCTGACCCGTTTGCGCCCTACCTACGCCGCTTGCCGCTGCCCCTGCAGAGTTCTCCAGCCTGCACATGCAGCTGACGGAGATCAGGACGGCCTTCTCCGCCGCGGCGCAAGGCGGCGACAGCATCAGCGGCGAGCAGGTGGCACAGCTGGTGGCGCAGCAAGGTGTGCGCTGCTCGCCCACCCGGGCGCGGCTGCGCGCCTCATGCTCAAACCAGCACCTCTGTTGCCGCTGCGCAGCGTGTTCCCAACCACGCCCTCATCACCCATGCATCCTGCGGATGCTGACTGGCTGTGGTCTTGGCTGTCACCTGCTGCAGGTTATCGCATCGAACCTCCAGCTCTGCAGGCGCTCTCCAAGTGAGAACGTGGGCCGGCCGGGCTGTGCCTCCCCATACCGTTTTGCTGCTCTCGGCTCACACGCCTTGGCGCCCCCCTCCCCCTCAACCCTGCAGGTCGTTTGACCCAGACCGCAACGGTGAAAGCCGGCACGACTGCTCCTCTGCTTCTGCGCCGCCGTGATGCCTGCTGGGGGCCCTGTGCGTCCTGCCAAATTCGGTTGCTGATCAGGCCACTGCCTGCCCACCACCTGCCTTGCAGGCCGGTTCGGGCTGCCCGAGTACACGATGCTGTCGCTCTTTTTGATGTCTGCCAAGCAGATCTTTGGCGCCTTCGACCCGCAGGCAAGCAGGCCCGCTGCTGGGACTCACGGTGCTGGTGGTGTGCAGCGGGCAGGTGCATATGGGTGTGGGTGATGCTGGGCCAAGGGCGCCTGTGGGCGCCACCAGCGTGCCACCGCTTGATCGGGTCTGCCCCTGCCCCTTTGCTCTCTCTGCAGCACTCGGGCCGCGTCAGCCTCGACTTTAGCCAGTTTGTGTATGCATCGGCCCAGACGCGCTGAGCTCAATGACGGCGGGTCGCGCAGCTGAATGGTGGCACGCAATCTTCTGGGTTCATTTTTGTGGCTATTTTGTGAACCTGTTGATCTTTACAACCCCTTGGTGGAGGCATGAGGACGCAGAGCAACTGCGAGATTAGATCGAACAAAAGTTGTGGCCCGCCCATTTAAGTGCCCCCTCGGCTCCTTTCCAGGTCAGCATGGGCGCTGGCGGCAGGCACTGGCACGTCACAGCGCGAGGGCAACGCTGTGCAGCTGTATAGTTGGGAATTGATCAGGCTCCCCCACATCTCGCGCCTGGCAGGACCATTGGTTCTTGGCAAGAACTGGCCACCAACTGGCCGCTTCACAGTTCCTGCCTCTCCTCCGCCGGCTGCAGCTGGGCCTCTTCTGCTGCCTGCAGCCAGGCATCCAGGATGGGCTGGCCGAAGAGGAAGAAGTGGATCTCCTGCAGCTGCCCCGCCTCCTGCTGGCACGTCCGCACCGCAATCTGCAGGGCGACAGGGGGAGGGGCAGGAAAGGCCGCTGATCAGCAAGGCAGCCGCACATGCCGCTGATCTACAAGGAGGCACTGCACTCTGCGGCTTGGGCCGGCTGAACAGCCAGCAACCGCACCTCTGCCGCTTCATCGAACGGGTAGCCGAAGATGCCGCATGAGATGGCCGGGAATGCCACCGTCTTGAGGCCGTGCTGGTTGGCCAGCTGCAGGGAGCTGCGGTACGCGCTTTCCAGCAGCGGCGCTGAGGCCTCGGCGTTGTGGTAGACGGGCCCCACCGTGTGGATGACGTTGCGGGCAGGCAGGCCCGCCCCCGTCGTCATCCGCGCCTCCCCCGTGGGGCAGCGCACCCCCTGCCGCACTTCTGGCACCTGCGCGGCAGTGGCTTGATTGTGGTCGGGCAGAGTTGGAAAGCTAGGGAGCTGGATTACCGGCAGGCGGCATGCTGGCAGCGGCATACCTGTCGGCAAGCTTCCAACAGCGACGGCCCCGCCGCGCGGTGGATGGCGCCATCCACGCCGCCGCCGCCCAGCATGCTGCACGCAGGTGGAGAGAATGGCATGCTGCTCGGCTGGTGTGCTGCACGAGCGGCTGCATAGCATCTCAAAACAACCACGGCTGGCCTCACCGCTCGTTGGCGGCATTCACGATGGCGTCGCCCGCAAACTTGGTGAGGTCCCCCCGGCGCAGCACCAGCAGGGTGGTGGGCGTCAGGCGTAGCGTGACCTTGGGGAGCGTCATGGCTGTGGCAGCTGGCGCCAGGTGCAGCAGCAGCCAGCAAAGGGCAGCGGGCAGCCTGCATGCGCGGCCAAAATAGACACGTTCAGCGCGACTGGGAGAGTTTGGGCAGGGCCAGGCGGCGGAAGTGATGCTGGGCAGAATTCAAGGGTGCATGCTGGGAGCGAGATGACGGCGGCGGCGAGCGGCGGCAGCAATTAACTTTCAAGAAGCAGCGGCAAGCATGCTCTCGCCCTGAAATTCGCCCCCACCTCGTCCTGACGGCCGCAATCCTGCTATTCCAATCCAACTCGGTTGCTCGGTGGCTGGGGTTTGGCAGTGGAGGGCGGGTGTCGTGGCTACCGCTACGGCTGGCCGAGAGGAGACTTCGGCGACCAAAGATCGTTAGAAGATGGCTCATCGATAAAGCCTGTCCATGCGTCCAGCCTGGCCTGCCAGGCTGTGATGCATGGGACACAGGCTGTGGTGCTTCTCTTGGGCTACACATTGCTCCTGTCGCAATTCGAAGCATCCCAGGTGGAGCACAGCAAGGGGGAAGCCCCTCTGAGACCAGTTTCCCTTCGTGCGGCTGCGCACAAAGGCCCCAGGTGCGTGGGTGGGCTGTCTCTGCGATCGGCAGCATGAGCTGCTGCACATGGCTACCGCCAACTAGTTCCGACGGCGCGCCAGTGCCGCGGCGCTCCCACCCGCCCGCTCGTGGCACGCCGGCCAGCAGCGTGCACGCAGCAGCCCTGCCTGCCTCCTGCCTTGAGCAGACTCCATACCATGTCAGCAGCGCTGCAGAATGCGCCATCCCAAAGCCCAGCAACTTATGCGCACATCGTCAGTGCGATTTGCAGGCACACGGGCCGTGCGGGCCGCAGCTCATCCGCCGGCGCCATGCAGCAGATGAGCAAGTGGCATGAACTGGAGGACGATGCCTCGCGGGCCGCCATCATCGTGCAGAAGCTGACCAGCCGCAAGGAGGAGCTGCGGGAGAGCCTGCCGCGCGGCATGGAGCCCATGCCGCGCATGTGTGTGTGTGTGTGTGTGTGTGTGTGGCGTGGGCATACGCACATGCCACTTGACTCCAGGGCTGCCTCCTCCTATTTGTGAGGTGGAGACAATGACAGAGTGTGCACATTGATGGGGGAGCCTCCGGCCTGACGGTACCACCTGATGGTACCGCCTGACCGTCCCGCTCCTGCAGCGAGCTGCACTACTGCAACGGCCTGGCGTTCACGTTTGTGCGGAAGCTGGGCGCCGGCATCAGCTTCGAGGCGGGCCACGGCTTTGTGATCCGCAAGATATACACCGGTGCGACCTGTGTGTGACACGTGTTTGCTGTGCGTGTGCGTGTGGTTGTGTGTGCGCGCGCGTGTGTGCGCATTTCTGGCCACCACACCCTCCCAGCCGGCTCCCCTGCGTCTGCAGGCGAGCGCCAGGGGCGCCCCACCTGGACTTGGTCCGCCCCGCTCTTCCTCACAGTCACCGCCACGGGGCTGGGCCTGACGCTGGGGTACACAGAGGGTGGGGTGTGGCCAGCCAGGCCGCGCCAAGCAGGCTAGACGAATTTGGGTGCTTGGAGGCAGCGGCCAGGCGTCGGCAGCGGTGTGGCGCCGGGCGGCGCGCCAAGGCGGCGTCGGACCTGCGCCCCGCCTCCAGGCCTTCACCAAACCTTCGGCTGGCCTGACCTCCTGGTAGGTATGGGGATGGGGTGTGGCCAGCCAGGCCGCGCCAAGCAGGCTAGACGTTTTTGGGTGCTTGGAGGCAGCGGGGTGACTGTAACACAGGGGCAGCGGCCAGGCGTCGGCAGCGGTGTGGCGCCGGGCGGCGCGCCAAGGCGGCGTCGGACCTGCGCCCCGCCTCCAGGCCTTCACCAAACCTACGGATGGCCTGACCTCCTGGTAGGTATGGGGGTGGGGTGTGGCCAGCCAGGCCGCACCAAGCAGGCGATAGGCGGCTGGGTGGCTGGAGCAGCGGCGTGGTCATGGAGGCGGTATGGCGCCGGGCGGCGCGCCAAGGCGGCGTCGGACCTGCGCCCCGCCTCCATGCCTTCACCAAACCTACGGCAGGCCTGACCTCCTGGTAGGTATGGGGGTGGGGTGTGGCCAGCCAGGCCGCGCCAAGCAGGCGATAGGCGGCTGGGTGGCTGGAGCAGCGGCGTGGTCATGGAGGCGGTATGGCGCCGGGCGGCGCGCCAAGGCGGCGTCGGACCTGCGCCCCGCCTCCATGCCTTCACCAAACCTACGGCAGGCCTGACCTCCTGGTAGGTATGGGGGTGGGGTGTGGCCAGCCAGGTCGGCAGCGAGATCGAGGCGGTGCCCGACTTCAAGTACACACGGGCATCACCTTCCACTGCTGCAAGCCGCTAGGGGAGTCTGCTGCCGCGCGGCGGTGGCCTGCTTTGCCGCTGCATCGTTTGAGGCGTGATGCGAGGTGCTGGGCTTGGAGGCAGCCAAGCTACTGCTGACCCTTTATGACGTGCTTGTGGACTCTACGCTGTCCTATGCCGGCGCAGTGTGGGCCCCTAGGCTGGCGATGGCTGCGGCGGCACGCCTTGTCGTGAGCGGCGGCGATGGACGCAGCACCCCGCTGTCGGAGCCGGAGTTGCAGCACCTGCGGTTCCTGAGGCGCCTCCTGGTGCTGCCGCGCAGCACCCCCGCTGCCACTATCCTGGCAGAGGCAGGCCAGCCGCCGCTCCATGCCCGCTGCCTGCGGCAGGCAACCCGCCTGTGGAACAGCCTGGTGACCGCCCCTGAGGCATGCCGCGGCTGGTCTTGCAGGCAGCGGCAGCGGTGGCAGTAGATTGCGCAAACGTGCCGCCACAGCGGCAGCCTTGGGCGGCCAGCTGGCGCACAGCTCCCGGGCTGTGGGCCTGACATTCGAGCCGCTCCACATGGACAAGATCAGCCCGGATGGCGCGCAGCAGGCAGCCTTGCGGCTCCATCTGGCGCATGTGACGCAAGAGACGCCCGCCCACGCCTGGCTGCGCCACTACTTCTGCGATGTGCGCCCGGAGTGCCGTAGCCTGGATGGCTATGGCCGCCCACCGTATGTCACGGAGGTACGCGAGCGGCGCTGCCGCCGCGGCCTGACCGAGCTGCGCACAGGCATGCACTGGGGTGCGGAGGAGCAGGGGCGGGGCACTGGCACGCCCCGCGAGCAGCGCGTGTGCCCGCACTGCCCCGCCCTGGATGGCCCTGGCGGCATTGAGGACACCCGACACATCCTGTTTGTGTGCCCCTTGTATGCCGCCGAGCGCGATCGCTGGCTGGAGCTGTTCCACGAGTTCCAAGGCCTGCCGACGGCGTCCGTCCCCCTCAGCGCATTCTTCACGCAGAACAGCACCGAGCTGGCAGCCCTGGCTGCATGCCGCAAGAAGGCGTGGGACGCCATGAGCCCACAGTAGCACAGTACCCTTGATTGATTGATCTTTATATTGTGCAGGGCAGGGGGAGGAGGAATGGGCGGTGAACTCTCTTGGGAACCGGCATAGGGCTGCTCAGGCGCCTGTCCCCGGGGAGACCCGCCCCAATCAGACTGCCTTCCCCCCCGCTCTGTTTGCACCCCACCCGTCTCCTCTCTCTCCCCGTTTGTGTATGGTGCCTTCACCTTTCCAGCTGCTGCAACACAGCTGGGCCCGCATCATTCATTTGCTCCTTATGGGTGTAACAGACAGACAGACAGACAGACAGACAGACAGACAGACGTCATGCATGCGGCCGTTGCTGGGGATTCGACGAGCTACAGCAGAACAAAGGAGTTGAATGCTAGCATGTGCTACAGGGAATCTGCAGGAATGAGGATAGACAGAACAAGGGGGGTACTTGAGACGACGGCACTTGCAATCGGGGCTCGATGAAGAAGAGATGGACACTCTTCTGAAAAAACGGCGCGCTGGGTTTGTCGCCTGAATGCGGAATCTGAAAGGAACTTCAATGATTGTGTGGTATTGTTGCTAGTGCGTTCTGAGCAGGGTGCAACTAGCACTTTTCAGCTTGGCCGGGCGCTGCCCACTAGCACACCGGCGGCAGCTCATCCAGCCTACACCGCCTCAGTCCTGCGGCCCTCCACCAGGTACGTTGCCTGGCCGATTGCGTCAGCAATGTCGACGCGGATGTTCTGGCGCCCAATCTTGTGGTCCAGGTGTGCGCGCATGAGTGCCAGCAGCACCTGCGCACGGCAGTAGAGCACCACAGCTTAGTGAAAGAGCGGCTAATCAGAATTGGTTGTGCATGTAATGCTGGCGTTGAGCAGGCCAAGCCACATGAAAGGATGAGAACCGGCACTGACCCGGTTGTTGGGGTTGGCCAGCACGAGCCCGATAGAATCGTCATAAAGTTCGTCTAGGAAGTCGCTCAGGAAGTGGATGCCAGTGGCGTCGATGTCTGATAGAAGGAGAAGGCAAGGCACAACGGGTTGGTCATGTTTTCACAAGCATCAGCAATGCGAGATTCAGAAGCACCATTTCTCCCTCCCTTTCTCCTGTCCTCTGGATACCATCACCTGTCACAGGTGCTAGATCAAGCACCACCACCTGTACAGGGTCGCCAGACTGCTTGTCTTGTGCCCGACGCTTTTGCACAGCTTTGCGGATGTACTCTTTGATGCCCTGCAACAGTAGAAATGCAATCGATATCGCACCACTAAGAAGGACCAGAAGCAGCAACGCATCATCTCGAAATGTCCTGGCTGGACAGCTGCCGCACTTGCCTCGCAGCAGAAGAACTGGATGGCTGCATCGATGCGCAGCACCAGCACGCCAGGGGTGGTCTCTGCCTCGGGATACATGAGGATGCTGCGGTAGATGTTGGTGCCTGGCAGGCGGCCCAGCTGGGTGATGCGTGGGAAGGCAACCTTGTAGATCACCACCACCAGCGACAGGCCTGCGCGGCGAGAACGTGACAGGCAACACATGTTGTGGTGCTGCACAAACAAAAAGGCATACTTTTCCAGCTGTTTGGCACCACAGTTGGGCCCGTAGCATTCATTTGCTCCTTATGGGTGTAACAGACAGACAGACAGGCAACTAAATATTGTGGTGCAGCACAATAATTACAAGCACAAGCTCATGGCAGGACTAGTAGGGTCAGCACTCCGTTTTGGCTGCTACTCACCCACGCCAACGGCGATGCCAATCTCCACGCCCGCAAACAGGGTGGTGAGGAAGCAGGCCACCCAGACGAGCCAGTCAAACTTGTTGATCTTCCACAGGTACAGGAACTCGGGGTAGTCAAACAGCTGCAGCACGCCCACAATGATGATGGCGCCCTGCACGTTCTGGCTCATGTTCTTGAACACCGGGGTGATCCACAGCAGGGTCACCATGATCATCAGGCCGGTGGTCATGTTGGCCAGAGGGGTCTGGGCGCTGCAGGGCAGGCATGACGCGGCGGGATGGGAAACAGTCAGCTAGCTGAGCCGGCATGCGAGCGCTCGCTGGCGGTGGCAACTACTCGCAGGTCAATAGCATTGCCCGCATGCTCTCGCTCGCCAACTGCCAGGCTCACCCGACAGAGTTGTTGATGACAGAGCGGGAGAAGGAGCCGGTGGTGGTGTAGGCGCTGAACAGGGCGCCCGCGATGTTGGCAATGCCCAGGCCGCGCAGCTCCTGGGTGAAGTTGAGCTGGTACTTGTTCACCTTGGCCAGCGCCTTGGCAATGGAGATGGACTCGCACACATCGATCATGCAAATGAGCACAGCCAGCGTCATCTGGCGGCCAACGTCAAACAGGGGCAGCCACCAGCTGCCGGTGAAGCTAGGCAGGCCTGCGGGCATGATGTGTTTGAGATCAACCAACCAGCGTGGCCTGCCATATCCACTGTCCAGAGCATTGTGTTGCATGCGCCTTTGGGTTTGCAGCCCGCTCACCGCTGGGGATGTTGCCGATGGGCTTGATGTAGGGCTTGTCCTTGGGCTCATACCAGTTGAAGATGTTCATGAGGGCGATGGAGATGACGCACACGGTGAGCGGGCCCAGCGCCTTTAGGTAAGCCATCCGCCTGCGGTGGGTGGCGGTGGGGTGGGGATGCATATAAGGGCAGGCAAGTAACACAAACTGACGGGAATTGCTGGCAGCCGACCATTTGGCGCTGCACCCCGCCATCAGCTCACTTGTAGGTGCGGGACAGGTACTTGAAGGCGAGGAGCAGGAAGATGAAGGACATGCCCATGCAGAATTCGCGCCACTTGAACTGGCTCAGGTTGCTGAACAGCTCGTCCAGAGAGTCCTGGAGGGTGTCGGTGCGAGGGATCTTCAGGCCCAGAATGTACTTGACCTACAGGGGCAAGGGTGCAAGCTGGGATGTGGTGAGTGCCCGCGTCTTCCATGTTTTGCCTTGCGCTGAAGTGAAGCAATGCCGGTCTTCCTCCTGCGGTGCAACGCCAGCCCAGCTGGTGCTTGCCTGGGACAGGGCGATGATGACGGAGGCGCCAGACATGAAGCCAGAGATCATGGCGCTCGACAGGAAGTTGGTGATCCAGCCTGCAGACCAGCAGTCACACTTGAAAGCTGTTGTTGCCGTTGCAAATTTCAGGCCCTGTACAGACTCCAATGCGCCTCGCTCACCCATGCGGAACAGGCCGAAGGCAAAGTAGAAGCAGCCGGCGATGAAGGCAATCTGGATGGCGGCGTGGTTGTAGTTCTCCTGGACCTGGGCGTCCACCGGGTTGTTGGGGTCCTCCTCAGACGGCATGAAGCCGGACAGGCCGTTGCCCAGCAGGATGGAGGTGACCGCCACAGGCCCAACAACCTGCAGGCAGGCAGGCAGGCAGGTGGCAGGCAGGCAGGTGTGGATTCAACACACAGTAGGGTGCTCAAGCAATAAGAGCCGAAGCGGGGGGGAGGCCTGGCAGGCGCCGTGCATGTTCAGCACAGCCACCCTGCGATCCGCCCTGGGCATACTCACCAGCTGCCTGGATGTCCCGAAGAAGGCATACACGATGCAGGGAACAAAGGCGCCATACAAGCCAAAGGCGTAGGGCAGGCCCGCAAGGTTGGCGTACGACATGCCCTGGGGGATGACCATGGAGCCGGTGGACAGGCCGGCGGCAACATCCCACTGCAGGTGTCAGGGGATGGTGGGGTGGGGCAGGGGAGCCAGCGCTTCAAAAAGCTGAAGCCATCAGCTCGCATGCATGCAGCCGGTGCCGAGCTGCCGAGCGCGTCGCTCGCCAAGGTACCAGTTCCTCCACTGGTAGGTGCGGATCCAGCCAAAGAAGGGAATGTAGAAGCTCAGCCAGGTGTACCACGTCCAGCCCTCGGTCTCCTCAGCCCACCTGCAGCAGTGAAGCGGGGTTGAACTGATTAGCTCCGCCGCAGCTTGAAGCGCAACCCGCCGCCGGTTGAAGCGCTGCCACCCGCCCAACGCTCGGCAGATCCCACTCACTGCGCTTTCTGCTTGGCAATCATGGCACGGGACTCCTCCAGGAGAGTCATGTCGTGCACATCAGGGATGCTGTGGCCGCTCTGGCTCTTGAACGCGCTGGAGCCGGCAGAGTCCTTGTGCGAGCCGTCTGACGATGGTGATGGCGGCGCCGCACCGGCGTGACCAGACATGTCTCGACAGGGCACCAGCCTACGGCTGCGCAATGAACCTGCGTGAGACACTGTGGACATGCATTTGGGCTTCAACGAAGAAACAAACAGAAGGCATGCCAGAAGGCACACTGCCGCCGCATCCCCAGGCGGACCGCAGCCTCGCCAACCTTCCGCGCAAAAAGGGCCCTGCAGCGATATATATCAATAACGATTGAGGGGACGGTGGTGCAGTGAAGGATCAGGAATTGCCCGCACCGTGACCTGGCACAAACCAATGGTAGACTATAGATAGATAGATAGACTATAGATCGACTCTCCCCTACAACCACCCGCACATTTCATGGTCAGGGAACCAAGTGCGGCATTTGGATGGAATGGTGACGTGTTGGCCATGTGTTGACTGGCACGTGGCAGGCCACGGACTCGTACGGGGCTGTGTACACCCGTGCGCCCATGCCCACCTTATAAGGGCCCAGGACGCCCTCATGCGTGCATGCCGTTCGATTCACCCATTTTTGGCCTGCCCTTCCGTTTAGGAAAGGTCGGTGCATTCATACCACTTCGGTGCCTGTGTCGTCCCCGGGTGCTGATGTGTCGTCGAATTTGCTGACGTTTCACTGCTTTCCTATTTTCTCGGCGATCGAATCCGTTTCCCCTCGTTTCTGTGATCAATTCTAGCGCTGATTCGCACGCTGAAGCGGCGTAACGAAAGTACCAGCCATCGCTTACTTCTTAGCGACTGAATCCGTGTCCCCCCGTTTCTATGATCAATTATAGAGCTGATTGGCGCGTCGAAGTGGCTTCTCGAGAACATCCCGCCACGCAGCATGCAGGACGCGCTTCTTATGGGCAGGGCAGGCCTCACCGCGCGTCAGCCCGTTTGTACACTCATTGGGCTCTTGTATTGTACACTCATTGGGCTCTTGAAAAGCGGGCCAACAAGCCCTACAAGTGTGCAGCGAGCTCCCACCACCTGTCAGTTAGCGCAAAACCGCCTGAAAACCAACTTCACTCGCGACCCCCGTGCCTTGATCGCATTGAAATAGTGTTAGAAAAGGTCTGGACGCACGGGCGGACCGGGAAACGCCTCCCTGCAGCTTGGCATTTTTGAATGGCGCCCTGCAGCTGGCGCCCACAGACTCTTGACTACCCCCTCTGCAGAATGCTCTCCTCACGCTAGTGGTATAGACGATTACAGTCATGCTAACAAATCATTTAGCACTCTTGTCACCGACAGGGCCGGCCACTGCCCTCCCCGGTCCAGCACTTAGGCAACGTGAGCCGTTGCCGGCGCCGTTGCCGCATGCTGCTGCTGCAGCCCAGCTCCACCCATCAGTCTTCTTCTGCTCTCTCCACCGCAGGCAGGCAGCTTTCCCTGAATAGCCGGGTTGCACAGGAGCAGGGCGCAGCCCCCGACTTGGCTTCAAGTGCGAGCCGCTGCCCCGCCCTCGTCTGGTTCCCATACGACAGCCCTCCCCACTCACGTTTGTGCCACGCCTTCTGTTCTGTCTGCAGTGCAACACGGAGGTTATCGCGTAGGCGCCTCTGTCTACGACATGACCCATCGGACCTCACGTGGTTACGGCACAATCAGCAGGCGTGGGGAGCCTTGTGACGATGGCACACCGCGGTGGCATGTGCATTGGGAGCACCCACGCGAAGGACAACGCGACAAAGCCATAGCTGAGACGTACCTGGAGCTGCCGCTCGTGCACCACAAGGAGCGCGTCCCGCCAGCTGGACTAGGTCAGCGGATCCAGGTGGTGCTGGGCACGCACAGGCGTGCACTGGGCACAATCGTTGCAAAGGTAGGCTCATGCGCGCTGCTGCCATTGCCCCTATGCCTTGGCCAGCAATGCAGCTGGCATCCCCTCCTGCGCACCAGCTCCTGCTGCGTCCTGCCAACCAGCTGCTGCCCCCTCACCTGCTACCCAGAGCGGCGAGGGCTGGACGTGCGAGCTGGAGGGCCAGAAGATCCGCCACAACTTCAAAGGCGCCTACCTGCATGCAATGGGGCAGCCAGCTGATGGGAAGACGCTGCAGCTGCCAGAGGTGGTGGAGCTTGTTACCGCCCTGCCCCTGAAAGAGGTGTATGACTGGCTGTCTGATCACCAGCTCAACCAGGCCGCACCTGTGGATCTGCGCCGAGTGAAGCCCGACTCGGCATTGCTGGAAGAGGTGTTCCTCGGCACGCGTCCTGTGCAAGGGCTTGCTGATGCTGAGGTGCGGGCTCTACACTATGCAGTTCCAGGTGCGCCTCCTTGTCCAGGGTTGTGGGGGCCGGAGGACAACAAGCTGTACCAGTGTCTCTTGCTCTCCCCGCCATGCCCCAGCCCAAACATACCGCCACTTTCCATACCTGGATGCAGCCCTCCACGTTGCTGGGCAGCCCGGTGCTGGTATGTCAACGGCAACGGCTGATGATGTCGGCACCATCCGGAGCGGCCTGCAGAAGAAAGCGGCGAGCAAGTGGACGCTCAGTATGTCTGCTCCCATGCATCCAAGTGCAGCTGCCCGTACACGCTGGAGTTCCGGCATGCGGCTGGCAGCGAGGGGGTGAGCGTGTGGCAAACAGCGCCCCACCAGTTCCATGACCCCACCAGCGCCGACAGCCAGGCCCAGCTCCACATGCACCCCCGCCTGGAGTCGATGGCCACCGTGATGATCGAGAGTAGCGCCAAGCCCACGTCCATCTGCACACGGCTGAACAACATGGTGCATGATCCGGCCGACCCGCTGGGCCTCGGGGCCGGGACTACTGGGCTGAAGCACTTCAGCAGCGCCCGTGTCAACATCATCCCGCGGCAGATCTATGTGCTGATGAGGAATTTGCGGCGTGCTCAAGGCTTGGGCCTCACCAGCGACGTGCAGGCGATGGTGGCTCTGATTGATGAGCTGAGAAGGGAGGGCTCTGTGCTGTTCTACCAGCCCTACAAACAGGCTGGCAGGCGCAGCGGGGAGCAGCCGCTGGTGATTGTGATGCAAGTGCCCTTGCGCGCATGCTGGACCAGTTTGGGCGGCGGCTGGTGTCCATGGACGCCACGTTTGGCGTCAACAAATACGGCTACCCACTCTACGCGCTGGTGGTGAGCCTGTAGCCTAGCAGCCAGGCTGGGCTGTGTATGCAGCCACACCGGCGCGCACCAGGGCTGTAGCAACCTCACCTGATCCTGGTACTTGCAGGTGCAAGATGAGAGCGGGCGCGGGGTGCCGGTCAGCTTCATGGTGTGCAGCTCGGATACGGCGGAGGTGGTGGAGCACTTCCTGCGCACATCAATGGAAGGGGTGAGTGCCAGAGGATAGAGGGATGCGTTGGGCAGGCAGCAGTCCGCTGCCAGCCCCGCTGCCTGCCCTGCTGCTGCCATCCTGCCACTGCTGCCGTGCTGCTGCCAGCCTGCCACTGGGCTGCCGGCCTGCCACTGCCAGCCCTGCTGCTGCCAGCCTGCTGCTGCCTCATGCTGTCACCCCCACCTCCCAAACCACCAATGAGCAGGCACAGGCGGCAGGGGATGGCACCTTCAAGTACAAGTGCATCATGATCGACAAGTCGAAGACGGAGATTGCAGCGGTAGACCAGCTGGTGTCCACCGGGCATGCCGAAGGATACCTGCTCTGCTACTTCCACTTCCTGCCAGATTGGGAACGCTTCCTCAGCAGCGGCGACGCGGCTGTGCCTAAGGCTGAGCGGCACCGTATCATGCTGGCGCTGGCTCGCCTAGCCCACATGCAAGACCAAGCGCCGTTCAAACAAGAGGTGGGCAGCAACGCAGCGCATGGCCAGCAATCTACAGCTGCTCGCCCACTCACTACTTGCATGCGCCACTGCCCTGCGCCCCCGCAGCTGGCCCTCTTCATCTTGAGCAACAGCCAGCAGCACCTCCTGGTGGCGCAGCGCATGCAGAACAGCTGGGTGCCGTGCGCCGAGAAGTGGGCGTGGTGGGGGCGGCTGGACGTGCTGCACCTGCAGTGCAACACAAACAACCTCGGGGAGCGCAACTTTGGCCTCATCAAGTACACCGACCTGGACCGCAGGGCGCAGCTGACGCTGCACGAGCTGCTGCTGGCGCTGCTCACCAAGACAGTGCCCCGCAACATCCAGAAGCGCGCCCACATGCTGGCGGGGCGGGTGACCAGCACAAGCAGCAGCGCGAGCAAAGGGCAGCACTGTGGGTGCAAAAGCTGGTGGAACGCGGTGCGGTGGTGCCAGCAGCGGATAGCAGCACCCCAGGGCTCACGCTGGTGCAGCAAGGAGAAGATGCGCCGCCCGTGCACTCGTGTGTGGGCGATCTCAGCTGCTCCTGCGGCTACAGTGGTGAGTGGAAAGAGCCAGGGTCGGGTCAATGCATTGCAATGTCTGCGGTACGATGCCTGCCCACCTCCCCCATCGGCTGCCCATGGCGCAGTGGAGCATGTGTGCGTCCACATGCGGGCAGCCGCTGAGGTCGTCGGCTACACACACAAGCTGCGGCTGGAGACGGCAGCGCACCTGGTGGAGGCTGGGCTGATTCAGGTGGACGAGGTGACAGGCATCTGCACCACCTCCACGCTGGCCGACATCACCAAGGCGGTGCACTGCCAGCCGCACGAGGGTGCCTGCACCTGCCACGGCCAAGCCCAGCACGGCATCTGCTGCCACTTGCTGGTTGCCGCGAAGCTGCCATTCTTTGTGGGAGCAGAGCTGCCGATGGTGGTGCAGCTGGCAACGCCAGAAGACGCATCTGAGGTAAGTGCATGGCGGGCAGGGGCCAAGGGAGGGATCAGCAGGAATGAGCAGGAGGGTTCGCAGCCGCAGCCAAGCCCCCAACCCAATGTGCTGTCATGCAGCGCATTTTGATTAAGGGGCGCATCTTCCAGCAGCCCACCAGCGAGCCGTTGGGCGACGACTGGGGGCAGGAGCTGCGCATGCTTACCCGCGTGCGGCAGACAAGTGCCACAGCCATCAAACAAGTGGTTACCAATGTCGACGACACCACAGCAGCAACACGTGCCGACCTGAACTACGTCGGCCGCACAGTGGCAGATCTGCCGGAGGGGGAGGAGAAGCAGGCTCTGTGTCAAGCCGTGAAAGACCTGCGGAGCAAGGCGGAGGAGATGCGCCAGGCGGCACGCTTGGAGCCCACCAAGGTGCGAGCCGGCAAGCAAGCGCGGAGGAAGCAGGGACGCAATGAGCAGGACAGGCTCACCCGCACGCTGCTGACCCGCAAGCACACGAACAGCTTGCCCCTGGCACAGCAGACAGCGGCAGCAGAGCGCAGCAACCCCTTGCCCACCCTGCGCCAGAAGGACAAGTCGGCAATGAAGGTGAGGGGCTGGGAAGTCAAATGGCGGCAACATCGTGGCTGTGGCGGAGGGCCCGCCCTTGGGTAAACATGCTGCATACTTGCCTGTCCGTGCAGATGCGCGGTCCCACGGTGCCTGGCAATAGAAATGGTACCACACTCCGCAACAACGGCTCGCATCATCGGGTGCAGAAAAAGCGCCGCACAGAGGCGGCAGTGGGGGCGGCGGTGTAGCGGCGGCCATTCCTGCGCATCGGAGGCAACAATTCAGCGTTCGCTGAAGCGCAGACACCTGCTAGGGAGGCTCCTGCAGAGCTGGCGGCTCAGCAAGCATTCCAGGTTTCAAGTATGTGGCGTTGTCAGGGCGCCTGTTCACTTCACATCACCCAGTACGCACCTGGTAACATTTTGGGGAGCGTGCACGCAAGGAGAGAGGGTGAAAGAGGCTGGGCCCACCATCAGCCATTGCTGGCACGCTCAGGTGCGCGCCATTGGCGCCGGTGGCACCATCAGGGCACGAGGAAATGTATGTAGGCCACGGGAGAGGGCGGGAGGGATGTGGAAGAGGCGAGCACAGGGCTCCGCAATTGCCAATTGCTTGTGTGAGCCCCTTGGGCGCCACACAGGGCGTCGAATGAACCCATTGTGAGTGCTGGGGGGTGGGGTATGAGAGCCGCAAGCGGGCATTCATGCATCTGGCCACCTGGGCCTTACTGGGGCCTGGGTGGAAGGGGCAGTGGTGCGACACCTGTGATTCATGGAACACAGGTTGTGGTGCTTCTCTTGGGATTAAACATCGCCCCTGTCGCAATTCAGAGCATCCCAGGTGGAGCACAGCAAGGGGGAAGCCCCGCTGAGGCCAAACCCCTTCGTGCGGCTTCGCACACGGGCCCCAGGTGCGTGGGTGGGGTGTCTCTGCGATCGGCAGCATGCGCTGCTGCACATGGCCACCGCCAACTAGTTCCGACGGCGCCCCGGTGCCGGCGGCGCTCCCACCCGCCCGCTCGTGGCACGCCGGCCAGCAGCGTGCACGCAGCAGCCCTGCCTGCCTCCTGCCTTGAGCAGACTCCATACCATGTCAGCAGCGCTGCAGAATGCGCCTTCCCAAAGCCCAGCAACTTATGCGCACATCGTCAGTGCGATTTGCAGGCACACAGGCCGTGCAGGCCTGCGAGCAACTCATCCGCCGGCGCCATGCAGCAGATGAACAAGTGGCATGAGCTGGAGGACGATGCCTCGCGGGCCACCATCATCGTGCAGAAGCTGACCAGCCACAAGGAGGAGCTGCGGGAGAGCCTGCCGCGCGGCACGGAGCCCATGCCGCGCAGGTGTGTGTGTGTGTGGCGTGAGCGCCTAGGCACATGCCACGGGACTCGAGTGCTGCCTCCTCCTATTTGTGTGGTGTAGACAATGCTAAAGTGCGCACATGCATGATGGGGGAGCCTCCGGCCCTGGCGGTGCCACCTGATGGTACCGCCTGACTGTCCCGCTCCTGCAGCGAGCTGCACTACTGCAACGGCCTGGCGTTCACGTTTGTGCGGAAGCTGGGCGCCGGCATCAGCTTCGAGGCGGGCCACGGCTTTGTGATCCGAAAGATATACACCGGTGCGGCCTGTGTGTGACACGTGTGTGTGACACGTGTGTGTGTGTGTGTGTGTGTAGGTGTGCGCATTTCTGGCCACCACACTCTCCCAACCGGCTCCCCTGCGTCTGCAGGCGAGCGCCAGGGGCGCCCCACCTGGACTTGGTCCGCCCCGCTCTTCCTCACAGTCACCGCCGCGGGGCTGGGCCTGACGCTGGGGTACACAGAGATAGGTGGGGCCGCGCTGCTGCGCCCGCTGCTGCGCCCGCTGCTGCCTGCGGCCGCTGCCCGCTGCTGCACCCGCCGCTGCCTGCGGCAGCTGCGGTGGGCGCCACGACGTGCACTCCTCTCGTTCGCCCGGCGCCCCGCCCCTCACGCAGCCCCCTGCTCCTGCTGGTATGGCCGTCGCCGCCACGGTTTAGCTCTGCCTGTCCCTATGTCCCCTTCACCCTGCCCACCCTCACAACCCCACATCCCCACACTCTCAACCGGCCCACCCCTTGCCCTGCTCAGACTCCATCATTGTACTGGACACCCCCGAGGCGGTACAGTCCTTCACCAAGAGCCAGTGGGCAGTGGACACAGACCTCACGGGTGGGAGCGTGCTGCCTTCCTCGCTCCACTGTGGCGCGCTGTGCCATGCTGTGCCACGCTCGCCTGGGCTTCGCCGCGCTGCTCCTCGCCGCGCCCACGCCGGCCCTCGCCTCGTCTCCCCGCGTGCGCGCTGCGCTGCGCGCAGGCGCGGCGGGCGGCGCGGTGGGCGCGCACCTGCCCGCGACCGCCGCCAACATGAGCAACATGAGGGTGAGCGACAAGACCTTCACCTACTCCATCACCAAAGGAGTCATCCTGGATGTGTCGATGACGGGTTGGTGTGCGGGTGGCAGGGCGAGCCGGCGAGTGGGAGATGGCCGCCGGGGCAAGGGGGGCACGGGGCGCAAGCCCTCCCCCTGCTTGCACCCCCCCAGCCCAGTGCACACCACGCTTGCACGCCAGCGACATCAGTCCCAATACCCGCGTACGCCCACACCCAGCAGCTGCCCCCCCCCTCCCTGCAGGTCTCAACTATGCTACTGACCCCGCCATGAACCGGGGCTTCTACGGCGGCAACGCCTCGCCCCAGTCCATCCTGGATGGCGCCACGGAGCCGCCGGAGCCGATGCAGGAGCTGTATGCTGTGTTGGACAAGGTGGGGGCGGGCAGGGTGGGAGCGGGCCGGCGCGGGGTCTCAGACAGGCGTGGGCTGGGATTGGGGACCTGCTGGGCGTCTGGGGGACCTGAGTGGGCTCTGATGAGGTCTCAGGGGTGGCATGCAGCAGCTCCAGCGGCTCCCGCCTGTGGCTACCTCGTCTGCGTGCTCCCACCGCGCGCTTTCCACCTCTGTCCAGTCTCAGCATTCAGCCTCGCTGCCTGCAGGTGCTGAACGAGTACTATGACTCTGTGGAGGGGCAGGCAGAGCTGCAGACGCAGATGCAGACACAGGTGGAGTATGCCAGCGTCGGGCAGGTCAGCATAGACGTGGCGGGGCCGGCGTCGGCGTCGGCGCCACGGGCGGAGTATGCCAGCGTCGGGCAGGTCAGCATAGACGTGGCGGGGCCGGCGTCGGCGGCGGCGCCACGGGCGGCGGCCGTGCCGGCGGCGGCGGCTGGCGGCGGCGGGGAGCCGCGTGCGGCGGTGGCGGACGAGGGCGGCGAGATCTCGCCCGCGCAGGAGCAGCCGGAGCCGGCGGCAGCTGGCGATGTGGTGCCTGCTGGCGGCGCGCCTGAGAAGGAAGAGAAGGAAGACAAAGCCGATTGATTGGTGCCGGCCAGTAGCTTGACCAGCCTGGTGGTAGAGCGTGCATGCGGCTGCTGCGGTGTGTGGGCCTGCCCAGGCCTTCCCCATGTCCTCGTGTGTAGCACGCTGCCTTTACCCTACTGTTTACCCGATGGCTTCATGCCATCTGTATGCCACTCGTTGTGTTTGTAAATCCCCCTCCTGGTTGGCTGCGGCCAACGACGTCAGCTCTCGGGCGGCGGCCGTAGGCGGGGGCGGGAAGCTGCTGCCAGGTGCCCAGTACCAACAGCGGTGGCTTACAAGAGGAGCCCCAGGCGTCTCTGAGCTCGTCCAACCCGGGCCATGGCGCGCAGGGAGGAGGGTTGGCCCTGGCATCATCCTGCTAGCCCCAGCTCAGCAGGGGCCAGTTGGCATTGCATTCCCGCTGCCCATGCCGCACCCATTGATTTCTCTTCTCACCCTCTCCCTAGCTAGCTCGCGGCAGCGCAAACCAGCCTAGTCTCTGTCGCTCTAAGACCACGCAGCTGATTCGAGGTGGGAGTGTGGTGCACCGCTGGGCCGCCTGAGGGCCCACATGACTGCATATGGGTCCCTGCAGCGCCTGTGAGGCGCTGGGGCGATCCGCTGAGGGCGTTGGGCGGCTTGGCTCCAAGTCTGCGACCGGCACGCGCCGGCAGCGGCTGGGCAGGTCCCGTTGCCAGCGCATTGCCTGCTGTCCCACCTCCCCGGATCACTCCGCGCCCAGCGGCAGCTTGCAGCGAGTTCCCACCCTGACCTAGGCCAAACCGCCGGCGGCTCTCTGTTTGCAGCCCCACTGCCCCAGTTTTCACGAGGCCAACGTGCCGGGCTCCCCGGGCAGCGGCAAGCCCCGCACTAGCGCGCAGCACCTGCAGTAGTAGGCGGGCGAGGCCTTGCGGGAAGAGCAATGCAGCTTGAAGACCGGCCCCTGGAGCTGGAGGAGAGCGAGCTGTTCGACGAGGAGGAGGACATGAGGCCGGCCGGCGGACCGCCGTCGTCGCAGCTGCACGCGCTGGGTGGAGCGGCAGGAGCACACCCGAACCAAGCCGGCGAGTCCGATTCCGACGACGACGGAATCGTGCTGGAGCTGGAGTCAGATTGCAGCAGCTCAGGTGGGCAGCAGAGCCTGGGCCAGGGTTCCGTGCAGGCCGTCGGGCACATGGCCTCCCTGACCCGTTGCGTTTTTGCCGCCGTGTGGAAGGCCTCGTTTGGTTTGAACGGCGCATTTGAAGCTCTTCGCTCCCGGCCTGGCATGCAGATGCGGAGGATGCGGTGGAGGAGGAGCTGGCGAGCAGGATAGAATCGCTGCAGTCCAGCCTAGAAAACGCGGCGCCGGTGCAGGACCAAGGTGGGTGCAGGGCCAACCAACCGCGCTTGCGCCGCAGCCTGCGATATGCTTCCGGGCAGAGCCGTGCGCCTCCGGCAGCATGGCCAGCCTGCTGCTGGCTGCTGCTGGCAGCAGCAAGGCCACTTGCGGCGAAGAGGCGCTGCCCAGCGCGCTGCAGCGATGACTTCACCTGCCTGACGTTGTGGCCATCCCCGCCCCTCCCTTGCCATCGCTGCAGCGCTGGGCACGTCCCACTCCAGCCAGGTGGGCAGCCTCAAGTCGTTTGGCGGCGTCAGCTTCAAGGGCAAGCGGCTGTTTGGGTCGGAAGGGGACCTGGCGACCTCGATGCCAGTGCGCAGCACGGCTCCCATGGTGGCGGGGCGACGCAAGGTGGCGCCGGTGACCAACAAGCAGACGTGCAACCTGGTGCGCTGCTTGATTGAAGGAGCTGGCCCGCCGCCTGCTTGACTGCCTGCCGCCTGCTGCGGCGTGTCTGCACTGCCCTGCACAGCTATGCATAGCTGGATGGTCGGGCAGCAGCTAGTGGGCGGCCGCGCCACCTGGCGTGCACAGCTGCCTGCTGGCGCAGCACCTGGCGGCTGCCAGCTTCCGGCGGTTGCCCCGCCGGCGCAAGGCCTGCCCACGACTGCCCCGCCGGCTTCCTGCGGTTGCATGCGGGGCCTCTGGCGTCGCCGCAGTCACCGCCAAACACCAGCCGTTGCTTTCTGCTGTGCTGCTGGGCTTGCCACGCCGTGCCTGACCCACCCGTGCCTGCCTGTGCCTGCCCGCCTGCCCCGCCTCGCCTGCAGGGCACCTCCATGCCCATCAGCATCCCCATGATGCAGCGGCGCAGCTCCTCCACAGACCTGCTGGAGGCGGGGGAGGGCGCGCCGCGCGGCCAGCGCGCCGCCGCCGCCACCTTTGTGCCGCCCCACATGCTGCACCGGCAGGAGTCGGCGGAGTTTGGGGGGCTGATCCCGGCGCCCGGCGCGGAGCTGGGGCTGTCGCCCTCGGCCTCCGCCAAGCGCGAGAAGCTGCTGGCGCGCAACGCCATCCTGCGCAGCACGGGCTTCATCGAGGTGCAGCACCCGCCCGTCATAGGTGGGTGTGGCTGCCGCCCGCCTGCCTGGCCCCGCCCGGCCCGGCCCAGCCGGCCGGCCCCTGGCTGGCTGAGCAGGCGCAGCGGCGCTGGGTGCTGGCTGGCGCTGGGTATGTGTGTTTGTGGAGAGCACGCTGGGAAGAGGTGCTGCAGCGGCCGGCAGCAAGCACAGCAGCGCCCTGGCAGCAGCTTGCAGCGCTGGCTGGCCTGGCAGGCGCCCTCCTGGGGCTGTGGCTTCTTGGCTGGCCAGCCTGCCTCGCCGCTGTCGCGCCCCACGGCCCACCCCCGCCTAGCTCACCCCCCACGCCTGCCTGTCCACCTGCCCCGCCCCCTGTGTGCCCCCGCAGGCGAGGTGCTGGACCCTGTGAAGGACCAGCTGCTGGCTGGGGCAGCAGACTCCGCCGCTGGCGCGGTGGCGGTGCCGGCGGCGCGACCCGACCCGCGCGCCACACCCCGCTCCTCCCTCACCCAGCTGCTGGGCACGTCCAAGTGAGCGGCGCGCGGCGGGCGCAGGTGGCGCTCCACACAGGAGCACCCCACCACCCCAAAATGCACATGTATGCTACGGGAGGCGTGTGCCGCAGCCCGCGCCAGGCCGGCCGCCTCCCGCGAAAAGAAACAGCGCAAATACTGAACTTGGTCTTTCCACTGCAATCGACAGCCCCCGTGCTATGCCTGCGCCTGCCCGTCTGGTGGGCGTGGCCCATCCGCTGTGCAGCCCTGGCCCGGAGGCCGGGCCGGCCGCACACTTTTTCCCCAAGGTTTTCTTTGCGGCCAGTGGACCCACGCTAGTAGTGCTTGTAGCTTGCCGCCGGCTCTGTGGCCCCCCTGCCCTTTGCCCGAGGCGCTGTTGCCCACAACAAACGCCACCCTGTGTGCTAGCGAGAGTACAGCGCCCCAGTCCTCACCCGCCCCTCCCCTGTCCCGCGTGCGAGTGTGTTGGCACGCCCCCTCCCCGCCGTCCCTGTGTGTACCTGCCCCCACACGTTTGCCCATGATAGGCGTGCCCTCCGCCGCTGGCCCCCCTTCCCAGGCAGCCGCGGCAGCGAGCACCTGCGCAGCATGCCCCTCCCCCTCCCTGATTCCTTTGATGTCCCCCTTTCATTCCCCCCGATAGCAGTCCTTCCCGGCTCACTTCTTCCCTTTTCTTCAGCTTAGGCCTCACCTGTCCATGCTCCGCATCCTGAAGACCCTCCCCTCCCCTTTAGCCTTAGCAACAAGTAGGCTACGCCGGAGTGCCCGCTGCGCCCCTCGTGGGCCAGCGGTGCGCGCTGCGCCCCCACAACCTCATGCACCCCCCGCTGCCGTTCTTCCAGTGTTCCTGCTGCGCACCGTGTGCCTCTTTTGAGGAGCCTTCCCGCCAGCCGCGGGCGGCTTGCCCTTTTTACCCCTGTGAATAGCAGACCCCACTGTAAGCTGGCATTGTCGCTTTGTGAGAGGGCAGGGATGTGTGGCAGCTACTTGGATGAGTTGCTGCCTGCGGCGGCGGCGGCGGCGTTAGGGCAAGCGGGCGCCGACTGCTTTTCCCGCCATTTTGGGTTGGCGGCTGCCGGCCCAGGCAGCGGCAGCACGCTGCCTCAGGGTGGTATGCAATCCAATCACTACATTTTGAAGGCTCTGGCGCGTTGGCTGTGCCAGGGATCATCGGGAAGCCAAGCGTCTGCCTTGAAGGCACAGCCTGTGGGCTCGCGCAACCCTGTGTGATTGCTCTGTCCTTATCCTTTAATGATCAAGGCCTACACCCACCATCTCCGCCGCTGCCGGGAGCTCCACGACACAGGCATTAAGGCTGCGGTTGTCGGAGGCGTGCAGGAGGCGGTCCCCGCGCCTCGCGGCGCTCCCCGTGGTGAGTGCAGTGCTGCTGCGGGAGGGCCAGGCTTGCGTAAGAGCTGCTCGCTGGGGATGTCGCATCCCCACGCATGTCTGCGATGCGACATGCTGGTTGATGCGGGAGCCCGGCTAGGCATTCCACGAGCTTTAGAATGGTGCGTTCGATGGCAGAGCGGCTGGCCAGCGGAGGCGGTGTGGTTCCCAGCGGTCCCCGCCACCAAGGGCCGCACACGCACCGTGGCGGGCCGCAGGCAACCACACAGCCTCTGTTGTTCTCAGCAGCTCAGGGGAGTGCACATTTGCCGGCACCATCCAACTTCAGAACACTTTTGCAGTTCGCCCTGGGCTCTTTTCTCGAAACCTGCCCCTGCGCGTGGCCGCTACCCGCGCGCGGGCGCTGCGTAGAGGCTGTTTTCGGCTTCAACGCTTAGCTGGGCAGCCAGCCCGTGTCTGGTCCTTCTCTTGTGCTAGCGCTTTCGCCAACACACTTCCTGGGTGTGTATAGGCTCAGTAGCTGTGGCTGGCAGCAGTGAAGCGCGGCTGCGAAAACCGGCCTGCGCAAAGCGGCACCTGCTGCACTCGGCTTCCTTGTTCACGTGGGCGGCTGCTGGCCGTGCTTCCTGCTTTTCTAGTCCCTGAGGCTCCCTTGGGTGCTGCACAGACTCCCACAACATGCCGCCCGCATGGTTGAACCTGAAGTCAGCCCTGGGGCTGCCTGGGCCTCCCCGCCGCTCCGAGATCTCTGTGCATAGTATTTTGGGCTGTCGAAGGGTCCGCGCCCCCTCAACCACCTGCCAACTCGGCCCGCCGCGTGTCTGTCGTCGCCTGCTTTCCCTCACCGCTGCGCTCGGGGCCGCCCACCCACATTTGCTGGCAGCCTTTTCTCGCCCCTGTGCCTGCCCACCCGCACCCCAGCGGCTGCACACCCATTCCCACCCACCCCTGCATGTCGGTAGCGATTTACGCGCCCTCGTGCTGCTGAGCGGCCCGCCCCTCCTTTGCCCAGGCCCCTGTGAGTTGCTGGGCTTGGTACAGGCCCGCAGCTGGGGCCCCGGGGCGCTGCGCCCTTTTGAACCGCATTCGCCTGTCGGGCGCCCCCCGTGCCCCGCGGCAGCAGCTGAAGCATCACAATGGAACGCGGGATGGGTTCCGGCAGCGGAGGGTGGGCATGGGTGGAGAGGATGGCTGGATGGCATGTCTAACAAAATATGCTGGCCGCTTGCAGGCTGCATCGGGTGCTCTGAACCCACGAGACCCTTATAGCCAGCGATCGAAGACATTTGCAGGTGCGTTGGGAGCCGTATGCCGCAGCCTGCCCTCAGCTGCGGCCGGGGAGGGCCGCGGGGGATGTCAGTTTGAAAACGAGGGCTCAGGCGCACGGCCCCCGCGCTCACCCGAGGCTGCTGGATGGATGGAGGGTCGGCTGCCGCCTGGACGCGCCGACATGGTGCCCACATGCCGCCGCCCACATGCCGCCGCATCCCTTGTGCCTTGCAGCATGCCCAAGCGCTCGGCCGCTGACGCCCACCTGGCGGCGGTGGTGCCTGGACCCAAGGTGGACGGCGCAATGAAGAGCCGCAGCGGGCGCACCGTCAAGCCCAAGGTGTGGGGCGCTTCCGCTGGGCCGCCCGCCGCCATTCAACCGTCCTGGAATGGCACCCGCCTGCGGCCACCCAGCCCCTCGCTCCCTCCCTCGCCTCGAACCCAACACCCCTCCCGCCTGCCCTCGTCCCTGCCTGCAGGTGTGGGACGACGGCACGCTGGCCGCCCCGCTGGCCGGCCTCAGGGACGACGCTGGGGAGCCGTCGCCCGGCGGCGAGCGCGGCGGCCCCGCCTCGGACGCCGCCGACCCCGACTTCAGCCTGCTCGCGGAGCAGGCGGCGCACGCGCACAGCGACAGCGCAGGCCGCGGCAGCACGGGCGCCCGCGGCAGCGGCGGCGTGCCCTCCCAGCAGGACCTGCAGCAGCAGCAGCAGCAGCACCACCAGCACCACGAGGGCGACCACGAGGAGGAGGTGGACGGCTACTCAGATGACAGCCCCCGCGTCTCGCTGTGAGGCGCCCCTCCCGCCGCGCCTTGCGTTGGCTTGCCTCCTGCTGTGGCCTGCCCTCGCCCTGCCCTGCCTGCACCGGGCCGCATCGGCCCAGCCGCGCGCTGCGCCGGCATGGCCCCAGCATGCACCGCGCCGCCCCCGGCGCCGCCGTCGACCTGAAGGCCTTGCCCCCCTGCCGCTGTCCTGCCCTGCCGCAGGGACGGCTCCCAGGGCGGCGGCTCCACCGGCCGCGCCCGCTCGGGCTCGGTGGGGCGCGACGAGCACGGCAAGTTCACGAGCGGGCCTCGGCCGCGGGGCAGCCGCGGCGGCACGCGCGGCGCGCGCAGCGAGGGCGGCGGCGGCATCTTCAAGATGGCCGCGGTGGAGGTGCTGCGCCTGGAGAAGCGCCTCATGTCCACAGGTGGGCGGCGGCAGCGCCGCGGGGCGCGGCCGGGGCTGCTCGGCCGAGCCATGCCGCCGGGCCGGGCCGGCAGGCCGGCCGCCGGGCAGGCAGAGGCGGCAGCGGCTGCGCGGCCGGCGGCGCAGCAGGCAGCCCGCCAGGCGGTGCCCCGCCTCTGCGCCTCACCTCGTCGCTCCACGCGCCCAAACCCGCACGCCTCCACGCCGCTCGCGCCACCCGTGCTCGCCCCCCCCCCATCCCCTCCCCACGCACGCACGCGCGCAGGCGAGATTGCTCGCGTGGCGCTCAAGCGCGGCCTCATCAAGTGCACCGGCAAGACGCCCGAGGCCACCATGGCCTCCGCACTCTACACCGACATCAAGCGCAAGGAGGGGCAGTCCATCTTCATCCGCCCCCACGAGGGCCTGTTTGGGCTGCGCGAGTGGATCGAGCAGGGGGTGGCCTTCCAGGTGAGAGGAGGTGCATGCCGCGCTGCGCTGCGCTGCGCTGAGCTTGGCAGCTGTCTGCCGGCCGCCCGGCCGGCCGGCCTGCACGGGGCCGGCGCTGCTTGCCCAGCCGCCTCGCCGCTGCCCTCCCTGCCCCGCTCCTGCCTGGACGCCTGCTGCCGCAGCCGGGCCTGCTCGCCCCGCCCCGCGCGGCCTCCCGTACCGCCCGCCGAGGTCCGTGCCGTACCGCCTGCCGCAGGACGAGTTTGCTGAGGAGATGGCCAAGCGGGCGCGCGCCGCCTTTGGCGCCTTTGTGGGCATGCCGGGTGCGCCCCCTGCCCCTCCCCTGCCTGCCCCTGCCTGCCCCTGCTTGCCCCCCGTTCTCCCCGCTCGGGGCGCTGCATCACTCTGCGTGCACCATGCCTGCTGCCTTGCGTGCCGCGCTCCCTGCTCCCCCGCTCCGGCTGCCTCAAGGCGCCCCTCTCAGCCCGCCGCCTCCCCGGTGCTGCCCCGCGCGTTGCGCCCGCCCCTTGGATGCAGGCATGCCGCCGCTCGTGCCCCCCATGGTGGACAGCGAGGGCGTGCCCATCTCCGCGCCCTACCCGCCTATGATGCCCTTCCCAGGCATGCCGGGCATGCCGGGCATGGCGCTGCCCATGCCGCTCGTGCCGGGCGTGGCGCCGCCGGCGGCCGCCGCGGCCGCCGCCGCCGCCGCGGCCGCCGCCGGCGACGACTCCCCCGACGGCCTCATGGAGCTGCTGTCTGCGGCGGAGGAGCTGCACAAGTGAGCGGGCGGAGCGTGGCCTCAACAGCAGAGGCGATGTTAGCGACCTGGGCCAGCAGGCAGCAGCTCGGGCACAGGGCCTGGCTCCAGTGTGGCCCTGTGCTGTGCTGTGCTTCCTGCAGTGCTCCCTGCCACCCTGGGCGGCCCTCACACCCGGCCCCCTCCTCCGCCCCGCCCCCGCCTGCAGGTCTTCGTCCAAGGATGCGCAGGATGGCGATGTGAAGTACGAGGCAGATGGCACCCCGATCCCAGCGGCCGCGCCAAAGCGCGCGGCCACGCCCGCCGCCGTCGAGGCGCCCGGCGGGTCGCAGCCTGCCATGCAGGCGCCCGAGGCAGCCAGTGCCGCACCCATGGATGTGGAGCGGCCTGCCGGCAGCGAGGGCCAGCAGGCGGTGGCGGCGGCGGCGGCGGCAGGGGCGGCGCCGCCTCCGGGCGAGGGCTCGGAGCAGGCGACGGCGGTGCCCGCGGGCGACGGCTCCGCCATCCACAGCCACAGCCACAGCCAGAGCCAGAGCCAGGCGGAGCGCAGTGCAGCGGATGTGCAGGCGCGGGCAGAGGAGGAGGAGGAGGAGGAGGAGGAGGATGAAGACGATGCCGCCGCCATGCTGGCAGCGGTGGCAGAGGCGGCGGCAGGCGCGCCCTCCTCGCGCCCCTCCCCCGAGGCTGAGCTGGCGGCGGCCGCAGCTCTGCGTCACGCCTTCCCCGGCTTCCCTCCCGCGGAGGGCGGCGCGCCGTTCGGCGGCATGCAGGTGTGTGTGCAGCCGCCCGTTGCCTGGCGAGGCGGTGCCAAGGCTGCTTGCTTGTCCGCCCCGCGCCTGCCTTTTGTTGCCTCCCTCTCAGAACACCTTGCCGCGCTTTCCTCCTCTACCCTGCTGCAGTACCCTCCCTACGGCTACCCTCCCTACGGGTACTACCCTCCCTACATGTACGGTCCTGCAGCCGCCGCGGCAGGCCTGCCCCCGCTGCCCAAGCAGCAGCAGCGCAAGGGCGGCGGCGTGGTGGCCGCCGCGTTTGCCGAGGCCGACGCCGCCGCGGCCGACGCCGCCGCCGAGCTGGCCGCGGCCGGCAGCAGCGGCAGCGGCAGCCTGGACCTCACGGTGCGCGGCAGCAGCCGGCCGTTTGCGGCGCTGGCCGCGGCCGGCGGCGGCGGCGGCGGCGGCGGCCGCGCCGGCTCAGCGGCGGCGCTGGCGGCTGCCATGGAGGCGGGAGGGCAGGAGCAGGTCAACATCCTTAACCTGCCGCTGCCCGAGGTGGAGCCTCAGGTGTGTGTGTGGGGGGGGGAGGGGCACACACAGCTGCCTGCTGGCTGGCTGCTGGCTGGCTGGCTGCTGGCTGGCTGCAAATGCGGCGCCGCGCCCAGGCCTTGAACGGTTGCTGACCTGCACACGCCGCCGCCGCCGCCGCTGCTGCAGGGCGCCGCGGGGCCGCCCGCCGCGCCGCCCACGGCTGCCGAGCTGGAGCCTGCGCGGCTCAAGGAGGCGGAGGCTCAAGTGATGCGGCTGGAGAAGGAGCTGGGCACCAGCCACCCAGAGGTGAGGCCCGGCAGGGGACGCCGGCGGGGAGGCGGGGGCTGCGGGCTGGGCCCGTCTGGCGCTGCCGCCTGCCTGCCTGCCTGCCTGCCTGCCTGCCTGCCTGCCTGCTGCTGCGGCGGCCGCCGCCGCTGCTCGGCGTGAGTGGCTGCTCGGCTGCGGAGCCGGCGGGTGTGTGGTGCAGAGGGGGGTGGGTGGGTGGAGCTGCCTTCCTGTCTTGCTTCCCTGCCCTGAACCCTGCCCTGAACCCGCTGCGCCCCTTGCCTGCCCCCTCCCTCCCCTCCCCGCTGCCCCGCAGGTGGGCAAGGCCTACCTCTCCCTCTCCCGCCTCTACCTGGCGGGCTGCGAGGAGAGCAGCAGCAAGCAGCTGGCGGTGGCGGCGCTGAGCCGGTCCTGGGAGATACTCAACGTGTGCCAGCTGGCGCTCAAGCGGCAGCCCACCTGCGGCTCCTCCTTCACATACCTCATGGACAAGATTCGGTCGGCGGAGCTGCAGAGACCGGCGGCGGCGGCGGCGGCGGCGGCGGCCGGCGGCACGCCCGCCGCCGCGCCGCAGGCGCCGCCGCATGCGGCCGCGGCGCCCGAGCAGCAGCGGCCGGTGGGGGAGCCAGCGGCCCACGGCGACGCAGCGCACGTGGCCTTGCACCACAGCCCCGCGGCGGCCGCGCCGCCTGCTGCCGCGCTCGCCGCCACGGCGGCGGCGCACTGAGGCCCGCCCCGGCCGCCCTTGCCCTCCTCAGCACTCTTGTGTACCAACCCGACCCCTTGCCCCTCCCCCTCCTTTGACAACGAATGAATGCCTGTGTTCCGCGGCGGGGCGGCGCGCCTGCCGGGGGTCACGCCAAGGGGCCGCGCCCCTCGGCAGCGCCGCCGCTGCCCCGCCCTCCTGGCCTCTACCGCACCGCCTCTCTCTCCTGCCTGCCTGCCTTCTTTCCAGGGACCGTGCCGCGGCCCAAAGATGCACCCCATGCGGCCCCGCCCCTCACGCCCCGCCCACCCGCCTTTTCTTTCACCATTTTGCTGGCGTGGGGACTGGCCGTCACGCCCGACCGATACAGACTGGGGACTTTCTTGCTCTGCTTTTTGGCCACCTTTGCCGCCACGCCGCAAGGCCTCTGTACCTTAGCCCATAGCGCCCTGGCCTTTCTTCATGCTGAAGAGAGCCGGCCCCGAGACTCTCAACCCGCCAACAGCTGATCTCACCCTTCCAAGCGCCTTTTTGCTGCCCGGGGTTGCAACGCCTGACACCGGCACCGCACGCAGTGCAGCGCCTCCCCTGTTCGCGCTGCCGCCGTTCATTCCTGCTCGGCGCGCGCACAACGCAGCCGAAACTGCCGCTCTGGCGGGGCTTATGTAATGATGAAGAGGACGGGCTGGCCTCTCTCTGAGAGGCTTGAGTCAGGAGCAGGCAGTGCCCAGCTGGGGCACTGCAGGGGCTGCCCCAGACCCGTCTTCCGGTGCCGTGCCCGCCCCGCCACCGCCAAGGCAGACACACACCCGCCCTGCCAACAGCAGCGGAGGGCGTGCATGTTGCAGTCAAGTTGCAACAGGAGGCGGTGGCCACACAACATTCCAACAGTGAGTCCCCGGCAGGGGCAGAGGAAGGGAGAGGGAAGCCATGGTGTGGTGCAAAAAGGCGGCGCGGGTCCAGAAGGTTCCGGCCGGCCTGTTTTGTCTTTGTGTGAGAGCGGGGAGCCTCGTGAGAGCGCTGGGGTGACTGCCGAGCGCTGGTCGCAGCGGCAGGATCCTTCTCCTTCGGGCGGGGCTGGGGCGGCGGGCGCCTGTTATTACACAGGGGCACTCCAGCACAAAGGGAGAGAAAAGATGATCTTGTCAGGGCATCGAGGCTCCTTATATAGTCTGGCTGCTAGCCAGCTGTCGGCAAAAAACCGAACGGGCGAGGGAAAATCTGTGACAGGTGGGTGAAAAGTCAGTCTGCTGATATGAAAATATCTGCAGGCTGTTTGAATATCCGCGGGCGCGCTTTGATTGATTCGATCGTTCGAAAAAGTAAAATTTGTGGGTTGGGAATTGGGAATTGGGGTGGCAGGGGAGCTGTTCTGCTGTCACAGCTGTGGTTCCCCCCACCAAACGAAGCTGGTGCCCTCACCAGCAATGCACTTAGCGGCGGCGGCGAATGGCTCAGTGCCGCTAGCATCGCCACCTCTTGCAGCCGCTTGTACCTCTGCCTCACCCTCATCACTCGTCAGCATCCTCTGCCAGGTAGGCCCGAGCCACAGAGGGCCTCGCGGTAGCCTCCCAGGTGTTGGCGGGGCGGTCGTCGGGCTGGCTGTCAGCAGCCAGGTAGAGGCGCAGGTCGTGGACCAGCAAACTCAACTTCTCAAGCTTCCGGGTGATTGAGTCGACTGGATCATTGGTGCTGTTACGTAGCACCTTGGCAGGTGTGGCAGTTGGAAGGATAGGTGTGGCGGGGGCCTCCTTGCCCCACGCGGACGGGTGCCCGCTGACGGCGGCAGCAACTCCGCCAAGGAACGTGTCCTCAAAATACTCCCCTTCGGCCACTGCTGCTTCAAAGGTCTCAGGACGGCGAGTCTTCACAAAGCTCTGCACGTCCTCTCTCAGACCACTCATGAAGAAGTGCCACAAGGTGGACTGTAGATTGGGGTCCTGGGAGTGCCGCACGAGGGTGCACAGCGCGTCGGCGTAGTCACGCACACTCTCCTTCTCTCCCTGCACCCGCTTGGTCAGGGCTGCCAGCATCCTGCTGGGCTCCAGTCCAAAACGTCCAATCAAAACTTTCTTGAAGCGGAGCCAAGTCATGGGCTCCTGAATGTTGTACCAGTCCAGCGCCTTCCCTTTCAGATGGAGGCCGGCGAACGCCATGGCCTGGGCGTCGCTCCAGCTGTAGAGGCCCTTCGCGCTCTCAACCGTGCGGATGAAGGTCTCTGGATTCTCCTTTGCAGAACCGGAGAACTTTGAGACAGCCACCTGCATGTTGAACGTGGGTTGGCAGGGCGCCCGCGCTTCTGCTGAGGGTGCGGTGGTAGGCATGTGGTGGCGGCGCTGTCTCGGAAGAGCTCGGAGGGCGTCCTGATCGCTTCACACGGTTACTTTGGGGTCGTGCAGGGCACAGCAACCACGCACTTTCCCCGATTCGGCGCCAGCAAAAAGGCGGCGCGGGTCCAGAAGGTTCCGGCCGGCCTGTTTTGTCTTTGTGTGAGAGCGGGGAGCCTCGTGAGAGCGCTGGGGTGACTGCCGAGCGCTGGTCGCAGCGGCAGGATCCTTCTCCTTCGGGCGGGGCTGGGGCGGCGGGCGCCTGTTATTACACAGGGGCACTCCAGCACAAAGGGAGAGAAAAGATGATCTTGTCAGGGCATCGAGGCTCCTTATATAGTCTGGCTGCTAGCCAGCTGTCGGCAAAAAACCGAACGGGCGAGGGAAAATCTGTGACAGGTGGGTGAAAAGTCAGTCTGCTGATATGAAAATATCTGCAGGCTGTTTGAATATCCGCGGGCGCGCTTTGATTGATTCGATCGTTCGAAAAAGTAAAATTTGTGGGTTGGGAATTGGGAATTGGGGTGGCAGGGGAGCTGTTCTGCTGTCACAGCTGGCCAGTCCACGTGACCAGAGCCACCTCAGAAGTTGATGCAAGGATTCACGCTTTATGGGTGATCACTTGACTCCCCCACTGTGCCCACATCGGGAAGCAGCAATTCGGACTCTAGGGGACTCGCCCCGCTGTACACGGTGCCCTGCCACAACAGGTTTGCCGTCCAGTGAGTATTCCTGCATTCCGGGGCTCGTGGAGGGCCCCAAAACGCATGGTTCGTGCTGGGGAGCCCCATTTTGGTGCGCAGCACCCGTGCGACAGTGGATGGCCGTGAGGGCAGACTGCCCCCGGCCGGTGGGCGGCTGCCTGGCCTCTTTGCCAGCGCCTTTACCGGCCGCAGCAGCTTATTATTGCTCCGGGAGCTGGATGGCGCCGCCCCAGAGCGCCCTGCAGCCCTCCCTTCATCAGTACCTCTCTTGTACTCCGCCGTGCCTCGTCCCCGCAGCGGACGCAGGACAGCACCCCTCCACGCCTGTGACGCCATGAGGACCCCCAGGCTAAGCCCAGTTGCCAGGCTGGGCTTCCTCCTGCTGGCCATGGCCTCCCTGTGCACCGCCAAGGCGGCCAAGCGTCCGCCGTCCCCGCCGCCACGGCCCCGCCCGCCGCCGCCGAACCCCCGCCCATTTCCTCCGAGCCCCCGCCCGCCGTCGCCATCGCCCCCGCCCCCGCACCCCTCCCCACCCCCCAGCCCGCCCTCCACGCTGAACCCCCGCTCCCTCTACACCGCCGGCAATGCCATCTACTGGGCAGACGGCACACGCTTCTCCGGGCGTGGGGTGAACGCTCACGACGCGCGTTCTTGCGTGGCCTGCGTGGGGCGGCAGAACATGACTGAAGTGAGGCGCCGCATCGACTTTGCCATCACATCCATGTGAGCCGCCAGCGGTGCGGGAAGCAGAAGCAGGGAATGGGTGGGGCGACAGCGGGGGCGGCTGGTGCGGCAGCCCGGCAACGCCTGCCCAGGCCGGCAGCTGGCAGCGGCCCCTACCTGCTGCACGCCGGCCAAGGGCTCCACGCCTATCTCCCTGCCTGGCCGCCCGGCCTCCTCCCCCCGCCCAGTGCCCTACCTCCCCCAGCCATCCACGCCTCCCTCCCGCTCCATGCAGGTGCTACCCCAACTGCAACCTGGATGCTGCCTACCTGGCAGACATCGACGCCCTGCTGGGGTACATAGGCGCCACCTACCCGCGCGTCCAACTGCTGCTCAGCGCATGGGCCAGCAAGCTGGCCTGGTGAGGGGCGCGGCCGGCTGTGCTGCCTGCGCTGCGACGTTCGTGTGCCTGACAGCCTGACAGCCTGGCCGCTCCCAGTGCGCTGGTGGCAAGCGACCCCGCCCTGCCAGCCTGCCTGCTGTCGCGCCGCTTTCCAATTAGGCATCAGCTCAGGGCGGAGGCAACCGAGCCTGCGCGCCTCCCCTCCTGCTGGGCCTGCGCAGGGGCCAGACCACGCTGGGCTGGCCCACCGCCACCACCAATGCGCGCTGGCAGCAGGTGGTGTCGGCTGTGGGGCACCACCCGCACGTGTGGTTTGGGGTGGTGAACGAGCCAGAGTACAACTTCAATGGCGGGCAGGATGCGCAGGTGGGCACTGCATCATCAGAGGTACTGCAGGAGATGTACCGCATGTACCGCAGGGCAGGGCAGGCACGGGCAGAGAAGCTCGCCCCGATGCTGCCCTGCTGGAAGCCAGCCGCCTGCCCCTCCGATATGCTTGTGCTGTATACATGATGGAGAGAAGGCAGCGGGCCGCCAGTCGGCGAGGGCGGGGCGCAGCGCTGCCTTGAGTTTGTGTGCCATTCAGTCCCGCTGAGCGCCGCCGTTCCTGTCCCGTTCCCCCTGGCTGAGGGCCGTCAGGTGTGGCAGGCCATGAATTCTGCTGTGGCCGCCATCCGCGAGCAGGAGGCAGCCCTGGGGCAGCCACCACACATCGTGACGGTGCAGGGCACGCGGGCCTGGGGTGAGCGCGGGCGCGGTGTGCGTGTGGTGGTGGCGATGGTGGTGCGGTGCAGGTGCTGCTGCTTCACAGTGAGATGGCAAGGTGCATGGGCTGGGCCTGTGGGCTTGCATCGCAGCCTGCTGAGCATGCTTTGCGTGGCGCCCAAGCTGCCGCGTGCCTGCCGTACCGTGCCTGCCGCTCAACCGCCTCCTTCTCCCCTCCAGGCCGCACCCTTGCCTACTATCTCACCAACCCCATCACCGCGGGGCAGGGTATCAACGTGGTCTACGAGACTCATGCCTGTGAGCGCTGCGGCTGGGGTGGCCGCCCGTCTCCGGCCGCTGAAAGCCTGTGCACGCGCGTGGCCACGTCAGGCCGGCAACCCCCCTCATGCCGTGCCTGCTCACCGCCGCCGCTGCTCCGCCCGTGCCAGCCTGGATCCCCCACGGCTGCAGACAACCCCCAGTCCGAGTTCCAGAGCCTGTTCGTGGTCCCCTCGGAAACGCTTCCCATCGTGATCGGGGAGTTTGGGCCGTTTGATGGGATTCATTCATTCAGCACACAGACCGGCCGCCTCTTGCTCGAGGGCGGCCCACTTTGGCCTGGGCAGCCCGGGCCGCCCTCCCCCCCGGGCGCATGTTCGGTGTTGGAGGGGTGTGCCCAGCGATAGGGGGCCCCTGAAGGCATGCGCCGAGGCCGGGAAGCGTGGTTCGGCGCTGCTGCACGCTTGGCGACTTGAACAGAACCGCGTGCCGCCGAGCTGCGGCCGCAGTTTCCGGCCCACGGTCTACGGCCGCAGCCACGGGACTCGGCGGCACGGCGTTTGGGCCCAAGCTTGCTGCCGGCGCCGCCGTGCCCGGGGGGCAGCGCGGCGGCGGCGGCACGCTGCGACGCCCCCGTGCTGCCGAGCTGCGGCCGTAGTTTCCTGCCAGAAGCCCACGGCCACAGCCACGGGACTCGGCGGCACGGCGTTTCGGTCCACGGCTTGCTGCCGCTGCCGCCGCCGCAGG